CGATCCCAATACGAAGTTCGCGAACATCAGGGATATCCATCGGGCTCAAATCGAAGCGGGTGAAAAGGAGGTTATCACGGCTGAATCCAGCGACTCTGAATGCCCTAGTGAGGCTGGCAGCTGTATTGTAGTGGGTGTGGTTGAGGATCAATAGTTAATAGTAATGAGGAGGTTGGGTTGTGATCCCATCGTTTTTGTGGTGCCAGAAACAGGGGGGTGCCAGGAAGTGGGTATGTTGACTTAGAACCTCAATCATACCGACGTTGCGGAACTCGTTGTGATCGTGGACAAGCTTTCTGAGGAACTTCAGGAATTTGACACCGCGATTATATTGGTAGTCATTGTAGAAGCCCGGGGTAGTAGCGTACTATTGTCATATTCCGAATTAGAACGAATCTCTTCCTCGACGCTAGCAAATCAGTAATTGTGATATCCTACCTGGCCGGTGAACGGATTTTGCCGCTCTTGTGCACCTGGGGCGCCGTGGTGGCTGGATGACTGTCAGCTTAAGAACAGCGATACCTAAAGATAACATAATGGTTGGACGTACCCCAAGATGATATAGAAACCACGGTCACTAGCCCAGCCGCAGAGCCGGATCAAGTAAGTCACAGCACCCTGTGCAAGTCAGACATTATTTCCTCTGATCCCGCTCTCATAAGGATGGCGAAGGGGACCTTACCTTCGGGAAATGCTCCGACTTATCGACGAGAGACTCGTCAAGCCAATACCCTAGTGGGATGCGAATAGTGTTGATACCGTAAGTCAACATCTCGTCCAGATCGGCCGCGGTGAGCCAGGTGTCCCAATGTTTCTGGAAGGCAGCGTCAGATTTCGCCTGACCAAGCTTCGAAACGCAGTCGAATTCGGACTTGTAAGAACCACAGCCCATCTTATTCCATTCGCCTGAGTCAATCCACGGCTCATAGACGAAGACTGAGCCTAAGTTGACTCCTCTAATCTTCCCAGAACTGCTCCACCAGCGTGGAGTGACACCACTCTTATTGGAGGATGTCCCATTTCCTTCAAACAGACTGTGCCCATCGGTGTCGACGAGCTTGGTGGAGCCATCATTTGGCAACCACGCATAGGTAGCCGGCAGTGCGCACGCAAGCACCAGAAGAGAAAAACAGACCATGATGGGATAGTTTGAATGCCAAGTGAGGGTAGAATGTGGTTGGAGATGAAGGACAGTAGAGCAAGGTGGTGCGGTTCACAAAGAAGAGCGGGTGGCAGATGCGATGTTTTAAGCTAACATCCCAAGATACTTAGAAACTTCCGCGAGGGGCAGCAGGGTAACCTTGACTCGTACACAGGAATGAAGAACTGCGCTCTTCCAACGCAGGATTGAATCCCAGCATCGGACGTCATGGTCTGAAAAGGCATCATAATCAACGCCCCTTTCAAATTTCTTTTCGGGAACTCCTCGTCGATCGTGTTGCAACTTTAGTTGTAACAATACAACTAAAGTAAGATGCGCATTCTCTCCACCTTGATGCAAACCCCCAGAGCGGCTCTGGGCATCTTGACCATACCCCTGAATGAACGGCAACTGAATACAATCATCCGAGGCCGCCATGCCCCTTCAATTCCGTTTGAATCCTAATGTGCATTGATGGATAACTGCCTCCTCTCATAGATGTCTTTCATATGCTTCTGGTTTACTGTTGCGGTGACGCATCATTCTGAATGCGGCTTGTACCCCGGCTCATCGCTGGATGTGGGATGAATGTCATCGCGCTATCTCGACTATTGGACCCTGAAGTTGAAACAAAGATATGCAGAGACAAAAGGAGGAGAGACACACAACATGCCGTTCCTTCGATGGCTTGAGATAGGTAGTTCAAAACAAAAGTCCCTGCTCCAAGTAAGCGCGGGCGGCTATCACAAACAACTGGTGATCAGACAGCATACTCCATTGAGACCAATAGTCGCAATTATCAAGTGGATTTAGAACAGATTATCAAATAACATGGTCATATGCAGCGATGATCTATCGGGCCGAAAGAGGTGGTTCCTTACATGTGATGGTATTTAGGCACCGAGATTTCCAAAGGGGTGATGCCATTGTCGAAAGGGGGGGCGTTGGGAAGCAGTTGCTAATCTTGCGGAACTAATGGTGATGAAAAGGGTATAGTAATCACCGCATACCGGCTGCCTAAGATGCATCGAACTATATTCCCGTCTTAGCCCGCACTCAAGTCTCCCAATACCTATTTAAGGTACTTCATTGCCCTTCAACGTAAACAATTTCGGGTAGATTGTTTTCCGAGGGAATGAATTGAATTATGACGGTAATTGGGCCTATCGTAGGATGAGATATCAAAGATTCAGGTTCCGGGGCAACTTATCGTGTCCTGAGTCGTTCTCGGCACACAACTAATAACCCGGTACCCTAAGCATTCAACCGTTTATAATTCGGTCTTTAACGTAAATTTTGAGAGGGTGAACAACGTACTCTTGATGCCGCGCATTTGGGTGAGCCTAGGAAGATTCTTGAACGTTGATTCCATGTAATGTCCTGCTATGCTCATGGATAAGATACTGAGTAGACACATCAATGATGGAGCCCCCTTTCGGCATGATCCATCTTTTATAAACTTCCAGTTGTTGTTTTGACTTGCTTCGCTTTGACATTTAGGCGTTACTCCATGTACACATCCTTTGATCTGTGTGGAGGTCCTGGATCCTGGGACCATCGGGTAGCAAGAGATCTTCTTTTATTCGACGCTTATCGAGCTTGATCCTGATACCATGAAACACTGTGGCTTGATTGTGTGACCTAGAGTCAGCTTTTAAATCCAATTGTATGTTGAGGAGATGCTTAAGACTTGCAAGAGAAAGATGTGTGTGCACCGGCGGCCATCTGGGGGACCGCTTTCTGATCTAACTTCGGATGAAGCCTGTGGATCGATGATGCGATCAGTATTGAGACCCGAAAAGTAGTGGTAATTGATGCTTACTTTCTCCAAATCTAAAGTGTGCCCTCACACTACGCTAAGTCTTGCGACGGATTATATAATAATAGGCACTACGGGCGTGGTTCTGTGGCCCGCTTCTCCGACCGTGACGAGGCTTACTGCCCAGAGGTTCTGGCGTAAACTAGGCACGAGATTAGGGTTATTTATCCGCAGCGGCCTTAAACTGACCGCAGCTGACAAAACACCTGCGTATACCTAGTAGCAGCCATCGGAGAAGTGCGCCATTAGATCCGCCATTTCCGTTGCCTTTCCATGGTCATCTAGTGCCTATATCTGTCCAGGTAAATTCATTCTCTGGCAAAGTTTTCATGTGCCGTCGCTGGCTACCCCCATACACTCGCTGGAAATAATTAATGAGTGAAGTTGTTTCATGAACACGTCAGTGACTTTGTTGCTAAGGCACTCATGATCCAAGGTAGACTGAGAAAACCGTTGGATGCAGAAAGAAAGCCATCAGGACGAAAGCATTGAGGGGACGTTATCCGTACATTGCGCTGCGATTGCCCGATTTCTCAAGTTTTTATGAGGCTCAAGAATCCTCGCCGTCTTGCACACATACACCGCCCATTCCCCGGGTCCGAAAATGGTCCTCATGACGCGTGGGCCTGGGCTGGATTTTAGCCTAGACTCACTAGGTTCATGCAGACGCCAAGTACCAAGGGCCATTGTACTTGCGCAATGCCTGTCTGCCGGCGCATTTCATAACCGTGGCGCTTCTTGGGGGTTGCATTCCGCCGCACTGGCTGAGTATTGAGGCGCTCTTGGCAGAAGCCAAGACTAATTGGCAGCCAAATACAATTGCTTGGAAGTTCTACCAAGGCTCTAAGGAACTCTTGTTTTTCATCTGAGGCTCGTCAAGGCATACTCAACTTCAGGGACATCGCAGACTTATTCCTCTAGGAAAGTCTTCAATTTTGCCTTTTCGATTGAACGTATCGTCAATAATGGGGAGCACGCACCACCGACTGGCGGAGGAACAATACACCACGGACAAGTTCAAATATCCACTCCGGACGAATCCCGCCCGGCGGCCTAGCGAAACACCGCGGGCGGCGTTGACTCGCGCCTTCGCTTTCGCGCTCCCCCCACTTTCATGGTCCGATAAATGCGGCGTTTCTCGGAGGTGGGTAGCGGAAGCAAGCAAGGTGATGGGCCCCAAAGAATTGCATCTAAGTAGGTAAAGTACGGTCTCGGTATGCATCCCGAGTCTATAAACCGTCGGGCTGGCTGACTGATACACCCTCTTTCAAAACTGAATCAAGCATTCTGCGCGATGGGTGTCCGAAAAGAGTGGCGATACTCTGCCGAAGTCCTGGATCTCTGTATGCTTGCATGATGCAAGAGGCTCTCGGGTCTTCGGCCCTTTCGCTCGCCTTGCCTTCGACCTCGACGTTTCGTCCTTCATGATATCTCTGTGCAGCGACGAGAAATGGAAGGTGTCTCTAGGGACGTGTTATCTTTGTGTTGATATGTCTGACGATGAGTGCATGCCAAGAGATGTCGCCAAGATCTCAAGAGCTGAGACCAAGGGACCAAACGACTCAGGACCACCCAGTTCCCACGTCAACTGAGTACCATATTCCATCTGAATGGAATCATCAGTGTTTGCGTTTCTGGGGTTTTGCGGAGATGAATAAAGCTTGGCAAAAACGTTTTAGCCAATGTATTGGCATTATCAACGGGACTTGAGGTGACGAATATGCTTTAAAAGTCATAACCCGCGCATTCTATTCGCAACCACGCGGAGAGCCCCCAAGGTCCAACAAGGCAGGAGCTCGGAAGGCTCCGACAATCCACTTCGCAATCTACGAACATACTGATGAATACCGTCGTTCCAAGTGGTTGAGAAGCCTCAATGAGGAAGCCTTCGACTCGTCAGATATATCCGGGGGAAGTGGACTAGGGGTTGATGTAAACGGCTAGAGTGGACGAGTTGTCCAGGGTGCATCCTCCTCCCCCCAAAGAACTATCGACATGGCCCCACGTCTCCGCACCCTCCTCTCCTCTCCACGGGGGACACGGAAGGCATTGGATACCTCCGCACTCTCCCACACACGGCTCCATCATGGAGTTATCTAAGCGCCTCGTGGGGCCATAGATCTGTGTTGAGGCTAAAAGGCGACTCGTTTCTCCTTACTCTCATGAGAAAACACCGAGAGAAGAGGGACACAACGCGTCTTGTTTCCTTTCTTCTTCTTGTCCAACCCTTGTTCACCCTATCCGTTCGTAACGGCGTGTGTGTGCGTATTATTTGCGGAAACGCTGCAGGAATCATGGGTTCCAAGAAGTACTTTGGCCTCACGGGCAATGCTCTCAACAATCTGAGAATCGCCCTCATCATCGCGCCCAGCTTCATTCTTTACGGATACAACATTGGCGTCGTCGGTGGCCTGCTGACGGAAGAAGACTGGGTCAAAACGTTCCCCGAGATCGACACTGTTAACACAACCGGAGCCCAGAAATCGGCAAACTCGACACTTCAAGGCTTCATCGTCGCCACCTTCACTATTGGCGCAACAATCGGCTCACTATCTTGCTCCTGGACCGGCGATATCTACGGCCGCCGCAACATCATCTTTGTCTCCGCCATCATGACGCTTATTGGCGAAATTCTCATGGCAGCTGCTTTTGGCCTCCCTCAATTCGTCGTTGGCCGTGTTCTCACCGGTCTCGGCATCGGGCAGCTTAGCTCCATCGTCCCAGTCTGGCAGTCCGAGACGTCTGCTGCTGCTAACCGCGGCCGACAAGTGGTCATATCTGGCGTGTTCATGTGCGTGGGCTACATGCTCGAATCCTGGATCGATCTCGGCTTTTTCCAATTCCACTCTGGTCCCATTACTTGGCGCCCACCTTTGGCCATCGCCGTGTTCTTCTCCATCGTTTTAATGGCCGCAATTTACTTCTTCCCGGAATCGCCCAGATGGCTCGTCATGAAAGGAAGGTCAGAGCAAGCTCGCGCCGTGATTTCCGTATTGAAATCGCTTCCGGCAGATTCTATGGAGGTTCAGGCTGAGCTTTCCGGAATCGAGTATTCCCTCGAAGAAACAAAGGGCACACAGGTCTCCTTGAAAGATGTCCTCAAGATGGGCGAAGACAAGCTTTTGTATCGCTTCTGCCTGTGCATGTCGCTTCAATTCTTCCAACAGATGGCGTATGT